CAGGACGAGTGCATATCAGATAATGGTGAAGACGACCCACCGGCAATTGCTAACGCCCTTTTGCCCCGCCCGATCTGCCAGCAATGTGTCCTGCCGCCTAACGCGGTTGAGACGGCTGCTGCTGCCGCCATTTTTTCGCCCCCTTGCCCTTCGCCCGGGGTGCGCCTGTGCTTGCTGCCCTTGCGTCTGGGGGGGGGGAGGGGGCTGGGCGGGGCGTTGGTGGGGGAGGGGGCGCGTCAGCGGCCAGCGGCGCCGTGGCTGGCGGGGCGGCTTTGCAGCCTCCTGCCGCCCAGCAGTTCACTGGCTACACCAAGCAGACTGTCAAGGAGGACGATTGGCCCACCTTCCTTGAGAAGCATGGCCTTTCGGCCGCGCAGGCCTCGGATGTTCTTGATGACATCGCCGAGGCCGCCCTCGAGAAGTCTAAGGTCGCGCCCTTCGCGCCTGCAGGGGCATTTAGCTCTTAGCATCTCCTCGCGGAGAAGTGGGATTTTTGTTTCAGTGAACGTTGGGTGCCAGGTTACATTATTGTCTGAGCGCTTGCGGGCGGATGCACTTCCTGCGCAGGAGACGCGCGTTCTTGGTCTCATGGTGGAGCCCACTGAAGCCCGACTTCGTGGTATTAGTTGGTCTGCCTCGCTCACGGCTGCGCTGCCTGCCGCGGGAAATCCGATTGGGGGTGATCTCGCGGCCGCGCCCGAGCGCGTCGGCATGGCGCCTTTGCGCGGCCGTGGGCCCGTTTTCCCCCGCTCGGGCCTCGATCATCATGTTGGTGGCGTGGTTCGCGGGGGCTTGCATTCCGTTGGTTTCAGCGACGTCACCTGGGCTGCCCTCAGCGCCGTCGGCCAGCGCCTCGAGCGAGCTGGTCTCCCATTCGTCATCGGGGGTGACTGGGGCGACGCTGATGAGGATCTTGTCAAGACGGGTTGGGTCGATGCTCTCGATGCGGCGGTCATGGCTTCGGACGAGGGCGCGTGCAGACTCGCCATGCGCAGTTTCGACTTCTTCGTTGTTTCGCGTTCGATTGCAGGTGGGGCCAGGGCAGAAGTTGTTAGCAATGCGCCCATCTCCCTGTCAGGCTCGTCACTGAGGCCCCCGCTCCTTTGTGCGACGCCAGCTTTGTTCGGGCCCCCGAGCGTTTTCCATTTGAGCTTCCCGTCGGTTGTGGGCCTCCTGTTGAAGGGCGTTGGGGCCAATTTTTATTTGTGGGGCCCTGCTGTGCCTATCCAAGACAAATGCGCGGCCTTGATTGTGGCTGCGGAATACGAGTGGCTGTGCGTTCACCAAATCGAGGGTGAGGCTGCACATTCTTTCGTCGACAGGTGTCGGCCCCTGCAGGCTCTTCGTGAGAAACCGTCGGCCTCCAGTCCGCCGCAGTTTCCCAAGGTTTCCCCCCTTGCCTCCTGGTGGCGAGACGTCGCCGCGCTGTTGCGTGATTTTGCTCGAGACCCTGTTGACTTCCATCGGCGGCAGCTCGTTGCTGCCGCGCGGCGTCTCTCAGGTTTTCACCGGTTGCCAGGCCAGTCGCAGTGCGCTGGCTGGGCAGCCGTCCTGCGGCAGGTTGGCCCCCCGCCGCTCGTGTCCGCCCGCGCCCTGGCCGAGTTGGCCGACGCGGAGGTGGAGGGCCAGCTCGCGAGTGCAGCGCAGGCCAAGGAGCGAAATTTGAACAGATGGGTTGACAAACTTTCGGCGGGGGTAATGTCGGCTCTGTCTCAGCTCGCCACCCCCCGATCGTTTAAATGGCGGCTCTCCATCGTCGATCGCCGCGCCCTTCGGCCCTGCGCCGCGATCGAGTCGATCGCGGCCTCGGTGGCTGAGCGGAAGACATGGCGGTCTGTCGGCCGCGAGCAACTCCCCCTTGAGTGGCGCCCCCTTGGTGTACCTCCTCCTCGGCCTACGGCCGCTGAGCTCGCTGCTGTTTTGAAGTCTTTTCTTGTCGGCACTGGCGCGGGATTCGATCGACTCTCGCCCGGATCTCTGCTGCTCTTGCCTCCTGCTGCTTGGGGGGCGCTGTGTGGCATCATCGCTCGTGTAGAGCAAGGGCGGGAGTGGCCGTTGACGCGGGGCCGTGTCGTCGCCATCCTGAGGAGAAGGGGGGGAGTAAGGCCTCTTGGGTTCCCGTGCGTCCTCTCATTCGGAGTTGGCAGGGGGCCAAGTATCGCTGATCCTTCTGGCCCACCCGCGGGGGGCCCCTCGAGGGGCGCGCGTGGGTGCGAGCTGCGTGGTCCGAGCATTCCGCAGTTCAGAGGCGCGCGTGCGCCGCGCTCCTCTTAGCTCTAAAGAAGGCGTTCGAGCCTGTGAAGCATCGCCATCTTATCGATGCTGCTCGGTGTAGCAACTTCCCTTTGTGGCAGGCTTGCCTGCTTGTTCAGATTTACAGGGCGCCCAGGGTCCTCGATGTTGCGGGTGATATTTCCAATGTTCTGCAGTTGGAACGGACTGTGGTCCCTGGATGCACGTTCGCCACCTGCGTGCTTCAGTTGATGCTGCTTGGGCCCCTTGGGCGCCGTT